AATATGGATATCATGTTATCTACATACACATGCTATATTTACATACATAGGCTACTTTACAACACTGACATCACTCCGACAGCTGGTTTAGATAACCGACCGGTGTGAATGTGTAAATCAAATTAATTGAGAAAGATGAATATATATGATGTTTATGTAGAATTGACCATGTTGAAGTCAGAAGTCAGAATTTGAGTGGTCCAAAATTACATTGACTATTTTAATTCATGAAAAAATACCTGTGCATGCTTTCTGAAGTATCCATGTTTTCCCTATTAAAGAAAAATGCTTCAAAAAAGAATGATTTCATGTATTTTCATTGGATATTTTACAATAAGTCATGCCAAATTTCCTGAGTGAGAACTTTTAGGTGTTTTGAATAGTGTATAGGTAAAATCTTACTTGCTTTGCATGTTTTTTTCAACTTTAATCTTGTGCTCAGTTATGATTTATTTAGTGGAAATATATGGCAATATACTGGAGATTTTACACATTATTTTACTTTGTTCTTGATAATAGTGAATACACGGGTACTTCAGGAATGCATGTATAGGTAAGTTTTTTCATTAATTTCTTTTTTCATTGAAATGCTTAATGGCGTTGACATAACGTCCGGAAACGAGAGTAAAAACACTGCCCTCTGGTGATGGTAATTTTAAAGTACTGTGTTTGACCAGACTCTTGAATTACAAGTGATCAAGCGTCTGGTTGAACGAGACTACAGAGCTGCAAGCACACCCAAGCGATCATTCAGATCGTGGTAACTAGCCAGTCTCATTCACTAGATGATCCTAGCCATAAAATAACAAAATTGTACAGTAAACAACATAATAGCCTTGAGGTGCCCCAGTTTTCAGGGGATGAGCCACCTTAAAAAGGATTGTCTTATGCTGAGTGGCGGTTTGAGATAAGATGGGTGGAGATCCCGAGATCTCATACACCATAGTGCAGGCTATAAGGAGGTCACTCCGTGGCATTGCAAGGAGAATGATAATCCCTATAGGAGACAATGCTAAATCAAGGGAAATCTTATCCAAGCTTGATTCATTGTTTTGGGACATTTCTACACATGGAATTCAAATCTTCGCAGAAACCCAATGAATATGCCACCGCATTTGGCTGTAGACTCGAGTCATTGCTACAAACAGCAATTGAAAATGTCTCTCTCCATAAGTCATTAAAAAGGATGACCTTTTGCGACAAAAGTTCGGGACATCCCCGAATTCTGACACACTAAAGAGTCAGACTCTTCATAAATATGACACCTTGACAAGCTACAATGAGCTATTAAGGGAATTCCGGGTTGTAGAGAAGGAATTTAGTTTAACTATCTCTACTGGTACAACTACAGGGTCTAGTCATACAAAAAGGGACACCAGCAAATAGTGTATACTGAATCTGACCAACAGGTTGCAGCTGTAGGGGACATAGACAAATAATTAGACCAGAAGTTAAAAAGCCTAGAGGAAAAAAAAATATTCTCAGATAGAGGGTAAGTTTGATTAAATCTTAGACAGGTGACAGTCAGAGGTCAGGTCAAGAGTATCAGAGGTCATGTCAAAACAACAAAGGTCAAGGCCGAGGAGGATAGGATAAGTCCCGGGAAAATTGGTTCAACAAGCTAGAAAGGTAAGGCCAAGGATGAAAAGAACTCCCCAAACGAGTAGTAGTCTCTGCTAGCGGCAAATCAGAGACTGCACTTATGCCAAGGTCATAAAAGTTTGTATAGACTGTTATGGGGAACTAATGAAAGTCAGATTTAAGTTTAAGGTCAAGAGGTCACTGATAGACAGTGGATTTATGGTTTTAACTATATCAAAAACATGCTATGAAAATCTTCTGGATACACACGAACTTCGGGAATTGAACACTCTAGGATTAGAGATAACAGTAGATAATGGTTCTATTTTGAATTACTTAGGCTATATAGAGTGTAGGGTTGAGATGTTTTTAATATTTTTATGCTGGTTGTACCCGATACCCACTATAACAGTACACGCCCTGTTATCCCAGGCACCAATGTTATCCGCCTAGTCAAGGGGGCGACATTGGAAGGACCTGTAACACCACAAGAATGGAGAGCTTCAGTAGATAGTGTCTCCTGCGCATACGCCGTGATAATGTTGAGTACAAAACCTGTTACAGTTGCTCCCTATGCCACCATTGTTCTACATGGAATAACCAGGGGTTTAGACTGAACTTATGCCAATGTCATGACATTTTGGATAGACTGTTATGGGGAACTAATGAAAGTCAGATGTAAGTTTAAGGTCAAGAGGTCACTGTTAGACAGTGGATCTATGGTTTTAACTATATCAAAAACATGCTATGAAAATCTAATTGCGGTGAACAAAATAATCTTGAAACAATAACATGTATATCTAACAAGTTGAATAACTAGCAAGCGGCACGAACACCTTTTCATTAAAAATAACGTGAAAGTATGCGTTTTCACAAATAACTCGTGAATTACACCAGGGAGGGGTCAACAATTTGAACGTAATTCTTCTGTCACCCATTGACGACTGAAAACAGATAAAAAAATATATATCACGAGTTCATAAGGAAAGGATTGTTGGCATGTTCCACGAGAGAATATCGCATTACCAAGCAGAACAGAAAAATAGGTGTTGCATAAACGGTGAAAATCAGCTAATGATAAATTTGAGTTTTAATGTAAATTCAATTAATTTCAACAAACAAGAAAAATATCTGAAGGACAAATTAGAAATGTTGCAGGACAACTGTGATATTTGAAAATAATGTCAAAATACATTTCCTATATGATATAGATGATTCAAACTAAAACACAGGGGCCAGACCATATTACTATAAATTTATGTCTGTCCTGTGTTATTCTTATTGGCTATTTAATTCAACATTTCCATCGTTATATCTGTACACCATGTGCAATGCTTTGTCAAATACTTACACACATATACACGCCTACAATATACACTTGACATGGAGGCACGTCCTTTCGTACGTGGTATGCCCCTTGATGGTACACATATGTGACATCTTATTGATTACCTCTGTTAAGACAGGTGATAAACTGAAGTTTAGACCTTTATATCTAAAAACATACACTTTGAAATGAATTCATATGTCTCAGATGAAAACAAAGTTCAGTGTGAAGTTCCAAGAAAGTTAATTGTTGCTTTTATAATTTATATATAAAATTAAAAAATTTCAAGTGTTGTACATGTAAGTATGGTAGTAACTCTCCTATGTGGAGGTTCATCTGCTACAAATGTTCAAAACTCGATGAGATATATTATTATGGTNGAATATGTCGATCTAAATATTTGAAATAGGTATCGTTATGCAATAAATTATCTGGCAACAGCGGTAAACTTAGGTTGGCGGCCCTATATGATTTGACAGAGGTAAGTTGCACCTAAACTTTATTTCTCTGAACTGTCTGTACGAAATGATCCGGGATCGTAAGCTATATAATACAGGTCGCCATATTTCAAGCGTGTCGTTTGTCATGAGGTGGGTACAAATGTATTCCCCTCCATCGTCAACACCGTAGTTAAAGGAATAAAAATTGAAAATAGATAGATGAAAAGTACCATGCCATCAATGTATCTCACAAATATGTAAAAAAAAAAAAACGTTTTACTGTATTTTCAGTACGTACATTTAGTGTATTGTTGTGTGTTTATTTACCTGATTTACACAAACAATTAGGCCTACAACACAGATTATTCTCGCTAGATTTATTAAAATCAATTATTAATTCACTTGACCTCACGTATTCAAGATGAACTGCTAGCTTACCTAGGGGATATCGATTACAAGCTAACAGAGGGGATACACAACTGCAATAGCATATTTCATATTAGTAATTACTGCTTCTATTAATTTTGTTTTAGCTTATGTTATCTTTGTTGTATCATTGTTCATTGTAACTTTTTGCCTCAGATGTGTGTTGTGATATTTAAATTTTCATGTGTCTGTTTTAAGTTATTGTTATTTTACATACGTTTGTCGCAATAATAGGTCTCAAGAGCTAATGTTCCTTAAGCTTGTTTACCTGTATATAATGATATAATAATCAACATTTGATATAGCGCCCTATCTAGCTAACATAAGCCACTCTAAAGCGCTTTACAGTACATAGATATACAATTGTATACAGTCAATACAATTAGCATATATATTAATCAATACAATATTGAGGAATTCGCAGGAGCTGCCTTATCAGGCGCTTACTACTAGTACTATGCCACCTGACTAATATCTCCCTGGAGATTTATTGTGTTCTGTTTGTAGTGGGACCGTGCTTCCAACGGTATCATTTATAGTGCCACATCACTTGAATACTACAGCACAGATACCGCAACACCCACCCTAGACCATTTTATACTCCACCTGGGTTGTTGGAGTTGTGTGGGCAGGAGAAAAACACTTTCTCTAATATTCCATGCGTACGGCGACTTCGGGGAACGAACCCCGGCCGCCTGCTTGGAAGGCCGGAGTGTTAACCACTCGACCAATGCGACGTTAAATAAAGTTTCTTGGATCTTCTTGTATCTTGTATCTTGTCTTGATAAAGGGTCAGATCACCCTGAACATTTGACAAAATTATTTGTCTGTACTATCGTTATTACTTCATTGTCTAGATAAACATGATGAAATATATATCATGAAAAGTAAGTGCGTGTGGTTAATTGTCTGTCAGATTTGGTTTGGTTCAGGATTGTTTAACGTCCTATCAACAGCTATGGTCATTTAAGGACGGCCTCCCCTGTGTGCAAGATGCATGCGTGTAGTGTATGCGTGTGTTTTTTGGGAGGCTGCGATATATTGGTGTTTGTCTCCTTGTGATAGCGCGGAACTGATGCCGACTTGGACTGTCTGTCAGCATACTACATCTTCCACCAGAGAACGTCGAACCTATTGTTGTATTTAGCGATAGAAAGATAAAACGTCTCAAGGAGTTCAAAATGCATATCTATTATTAATTATGCAGAAGTTACATGATCAGTTTTTTACGGAAGCCCGTTAGTGCCACAGGATGAATATATTTTATCTGGCGGCCGCCACTTAATTATCTGGCGGCCGCCACTNCTGAACATTCGTTGCTGGCTCTGGAAAGGAAAGCGTGGAGCTAAATTTTGACCCCCCAGCTTCTTCTGCATGGGACACGTGGATAGAGCATGATCCCCAGCACACCTCATGCAAACATGGAGGTATGAGCATGGATGTCGAAAACATGAACCCTTGTAATTGAAATCATAACATTTTCCTCCCTTTTCACTAACCATGCCTGGTCGAGATACAGATGCTGTAGATGTATTACTGTGACCGGTCATGTATATAAGCCACAACTCGCTATCAATCTCCGCCCAGGAGCTCTCGGGTTGCACCCCTTTTTTTAGCCTATATTGCTCATCATAGAGCCTCCATCCCTCCGACCTTGCCCCTCCTAAACGAATGGTGTGCATGTACTTTACAAGATCCAATATTTTTGATGGATGAGCAGAACCGTAAATTGATATAAAAACCAAAAAGGCATCAGACCATCTCTCAATGGTATAGATCTTTTCCTGTAATTTAGGTTTCATGCACAGCTCTCCATTTTTGTTAATGAGTATCTTCTGTTCTTTAATGCTAGTAACATTATTCTGAAGTAAGGAAGCCAGGTCGACGAACTGACCAGAAATGATTTTTTGCCTAAGTGCGTCAGGAATATTACCCCCCAAAAGGGCATGGACACTTTGTATAGGCCTAACATCTGGTTCAATACCTGATTCCTCAAAAAAATCCTCCTGATTATTTGCCTCCAACTGATTCACCATCTTGGTAGTGTCCGGCTCGGGTCTCTTCCTTTTCCTGGTATTGTGCACCTGTGCAGGTGCCTCCTCTACCCCTGCCACCGGAGCCTCACTCTGGTCAGGGACATTTTTTCTCTTCTGCTTAGACTTTGGCATCTCGAAAAACACTCAGAAATGAAAAGTAAACTAGATTAGTTTCCCATTTTGGTGTGCAATACAAGTAACAGACTATGTAACAGGAGAAATAATAGCACCACAGTCCCTTGTGATACTATGTAACAGAGGAGAAATATTAACTCAACAGTCCCCTATGCTAGCTACATTTGTATGTAACCCAGGAGAGAGAAATATTAACTATACAGTCCCCTGCGATGGCAATGTAATATATGGGTACATGTTACATGCCACAGTCCCCTGTGCCATATGGGTGGAATGATCATACCACAGCCAGTGTGATAATGAAATACATGTATTCCATGTCAAACTGTTAAGTAATTAATTTCTGCAAAATATTTATTTGCAAATAACATCTTAACGGTTGAAGAAAGCTAATTACGGCTTAGCATGTTGTAGCATTAACATTGACAACTCGGTCACGGTGGGAAGATCAAGTTAAAAAAATATATATATCATCCTACAGCTGTATATAAAATGCCGAAATAAAATCTTAAATCACCAATAGCAATCGTTAGATACAATAGATTAAGGATTGGGTAATCACCCACCTTGAACATAAAGTCCAGGCTTCATATCTATTCCAAACCTAAAACGTAAGCAAGACAAGTCGACCACCACGTGGCCGCGGACAGGGTCTATGAATGACGGGCAGACAAAATTCTCTCTAAAACATCGTTGTCATATATGCAAACCCTGACTCATATTCATTTATGCAACCAACAAGCTAAAAAAATTTTGTTGCAATCGATTCCTACCATGAATTTATAACAAATTATCGGAGCAAACTCACCACTCAACCTTCTTCTTCCCTTGAGAGTTTGAAATTGAGTGTTTGAAATTGA